TCTCTGAAGCGGTCCGTGGCCCACTTCTTAGACCTCCTCCGCATGAGCCCCTCTGACACGATGATGTGGCATTGGTTTGCCAGATCGTTCCGTGAASCTCCAAGTTTGGCAAGCTCGTGCGCCCTTTCGTTGCCCTGAACGCCACTATGACCAAGGACCCAGAGCAGCCTTACTCTGTTGACACAGCCTAGCCGTGTCAAAAAGTCGACACAGTCCTTCACCAGCCCTGACTTGACAATGGTGCTGTGTACAAGTCTGAGCGCAGTGTGGCTGTCACTACAAATGTAGATATGTTTGCCATAGTACCCACTTTCAAGGATACTGTGGGCGCCGGCCCGAATTGCAAACAACTCCGTTTGAAGAACAGAAGCGGTACCGGTTAGGGTGTAGGACAATTCGGTCCTAGGCMCTCCAGACCAGACCCCTGCTCCCGCGTTGGAACCCGCTTTAGCCCCATCTGTATACCAGACAGGCCCTGCGAGTGCCAATAAATGATTTGGGTCCGCTGCCCATGACTGTCTGTMTGGGAAGAGGACCTCATAATTGTGCTGGAAATGGTACACCTTTGGGCACCAGTCACCTCCAAGACGGTTGACTTTCTCGAAGTCTTCCGTTCTTGACAGGATCGATGCGTGCCCGTGGGAGGCCCGCCTCCAGCTTCCACTGACTAGCAGCCTAAAGGCTGCGCTTCTGGCTMTCTCCTCCGCTGCAATGTGCGGAGGTAAGATGTTGAGCAGGGCCCCTATAGCCAGGGTCGGRGTAGTGCGCATCGCACCCGTAATTCCCAGCCTTGTTAGCCTGTAGACCCTGTCTAACGCTTTCCTGTTTTGAGCCCGCTCGACGCCGKGCCACMAAACTAGRGAGGCGTACGTYAGTTGAGGGACCAGTATGGCGGTGTAAATCCACCTAACCATCCGTGGTTTTAACCCCCACGTCTTTCCAAACATTTTCTTGCCGGCCCAGAAAGTAATAATAGCCTTCCTGGCCTGGTTGTCGATGTGGCTTTTCCAACTGAGCTTGCTATCGAGCGTCACCCCCAGGTAGCGAACTTCTCGGGAGAACGTCAGCTYAGTTCTAAATATTGAGGGAGGCCTTATATTGAAATGCCTCTTCCTCGTAAAAAGCACCATCTCAGTCTTATTCGGGTTCACCCTCAAAGACAYCGACGTGCACCAATCCTAAAGATGTAGAGCGCTCTTTGCATCTTGCTCGACATCGTAGCCGGGTGATTGCCGGTGACCGCTATGCAGATGTCATCGGCAAACCCAACCGTTTTAACTGCTAGCTCCCCGAGCCTACTCAGGAGCCCGTCGACAACCATGAGCCACATCAGTGGGGAAGTGACTCCACCCTGAGGGCACCCTCTGTCGACGTGCGCCCTGATGTCCGTCCCGTTGAGACTAGCAGTGATGATACGTTAGCGGAGCATGAAGTCCAACCACTGGACGATAGTGTCGTCGATGTGAAAATCCCTCACTGCTCCGCATATAGCTTCGAAAGAGGTGTTATCAAACGCCCCCTCGACGTCTAAAAAAACACATAACGTGGCTTCTTTCCTGTCGAGGGCACCTTCGATCTCGCGAACGAGGCCATGGAGAGCCGTCTCGACAGATTTACCTGCTTAGTAAGCGTGTTGCGATGGCTGCACCGGCGGCCTCGCCAGCGCTCCATCTCTTATAAACYTATCAACGAGTCTCTCCAGCGTTTTCAGCAGAAAAGACGTCAAGCTGATGGGCCTAAAAGCCTTTGTTTGGTCATATCTGTCTTTTCCCGTTTTTGGGATAAAGACTATTTTGGCCTCCCGCCATGGCTAAGGTACGTATCTCAAAGCTTGACACGTTTTAAAGACACGGATCAGATGCTTGACTAGCCCATCCCCTCCATTCTGAAGAAGAGCGGGGAAGAGCCCGTCAGCTCCCGGGCTCTTGTACCCGCCGAACGAGTCCAGAGCCCAGCGAATCCTGTCATACGTTACCACTACTGCAGCAGTGGTCCAGTCACCGGGTCACTTGGCGCGGAGATCCCCCTGAGTCGAGGGGTTATGCTCGACCTGACCGGATTCCGGAAAATGTACCTCCAGTAGGTGGGCGAGAATGTCCTCGTGTTTCTCAAGCTGCTCCCCGTTCGGGAGAGAGAGTCCACCGAGGCTTGGTTTTGGGCCATTAGCGAGGACTCTGCAAAGTTTGGCCACTAAAGGAAGGGCCTCAACTTCAGAGCAGAATTTCCTCCAGGAATCACGTTTAGATTTCTTAATGAGCTTCTTATAGACACTCTGCTCGTTCCTATAATTAGCCCAATCTTCTGAGCCATTTGATTTTAAAGCTTTATTTAAGAGGCGGCGAGAACTCGAGCGCAGGGAGTTCAACTCTTTGCTCCACCATGCTACTCTTGTCCTGTCCCCCCGTGTTCTAAGAGGGCAAGCAGCTTCGAAGGCCTGAGTGATGGAAGAGGAGAGTAAGCTCACTCGTTCCTCGATCAGACTCTCAGTCCTTAATCCTCCGCCCATTCCCAGGAGCCTGCTTTCAAGGTCCCTCTTGTAGAGAGCCCAGTCAGTGGCCCTTGGGTCTCGGTAGGTCCTGACAACGGGCTGTGCCGTCTCAATCCTGAGCTTAAAGAGGATGCGGCGGTGATCCGAGAGTGAACCCTCATCGTCCACTCGCCACTCCTTAAGCCACCGAGCCACTCTGGGGTTGCCCAGTGTTAAGTCGATCACCACTTGTCTCTTTGAGGTGACGAAGGTTGGTCTGGATCCCCTATTTAGGATCTCCAGATTCGACGACGAGAGGTACTCCAGCAAAGCCGTCCCTCTCTTATTTGTATTTGAGCTGCCCCATGCGACGTGGTGCAAGTTAGYGTCGCACCCGATCACAAGGTCCAGCCCTTCTCTGCAGCAGTGTTCAACTACGGCCCTCAGTTCCTCTGTAGGCGGATGTTCGGCCTACACCTATGAGTCGTAAGGGAAGTACGCTGAACAGACGATAAGGTCGGTCAGCCCACCTCCCAACGTAAACTTAATTGAGGTCACCGCAAGGTCCCTGCTGCAGAATCTGCTTAGCTTCAGGGTGTGGTGCCTTTTGGATACAAGGACACACGCCCTTGGGCCGGGTTCGCATGGGTCATATACCAATGTCCCCATGCTGCGATCTATCCCCTTAACAAGCCCACCATAGATCCAGGGTTCCTGTATGAGGGATATGTCTGTCTGCTCCACTGCTAGGTTYTGGCTGAGTACCGCCGAGGCCGCTATACAGTGTTGCAGATTGATTTGTAACAGTTGGAGGTGATGGCGCGTGCGCCCTTCTCCCTTTGTTTTGATTTGGGGAGAGGGAGGGAAAGGAAGGGGAGGAGAGGATAGGTATTGGAGGGGGTATGGAATGGGGAAGAGGACAACAGGTCACACTACCGGCCATCGTCCTCAATCCCTTGTCTCTCAAATGCCTTCGAGGCCTCTATGGTCCCCTGGGGCGTTGTAGACGGCCCCGTTAGGGACCCAGCAATGRTCCGTTGGACACCCTGGCGGGTCTTCTCACGGGTCGTCTTGAACAGGGCRATGGCCTTGGGCGGTCTACCTCTGGCCTTCGCCCCGTCCCCGTTTTTCCATCGGACTGAGCCCTTGCCACCGCGTCCTTTGCGTCAGTAAGCGCATGTGACGTGTTGGCAAGTTCCCGCTCCTTCGGCGTCAGCCTGGAGACGGCTCTCTGCGTAGCGGTGGTCCCTGTAGCCGCAGTCGACTCCACCGGACCCCGCGCTGCGCTTCCGCTCCTGGATCACTCTTGGTCCTCATAGGAGCAGGTGCCCGCCCTCCCGCCTTCGCTCCGACCAGGGCTTCGTAAAAACAGGCCCTGCCCAGACCAAAGTGAGGGGCGAGCTTCAGCTTTTTCAGCTGGCCTAGAGAGGCCGCATCCACGCCTAACACAGCGGGGATCTTGCCTTGGACAGCTCTTCGGTCCCACACCCTCGACAAGGAGGCTGAGAGTCCCGGGTTCTGCCTTTGGAGTCTCATGAAGATGGTCGGCATGTCCTCGTCCGTGTCGGGGAACACCGCCGTCATCTTCTTCAGCCTGGGGAGGTATTCTCTCCAGCACCTGGAGTTGAGCTCCCTTCCAGGGTTTAAGACTCGGGACCATGGCCTTAAGCCATGTCTTCGTCTGGTCGTCCGAACAGGTTATCCAGAGGACTCCCTGCCCGTAAAAGCGCCTCTTGCCTCTTGAAGCGTGGGACTACCTGATCCATTGGGATCGAGTCYAGCGCCCCGAGAAGTGCCCGCACTAATAGCACACTCTGCCCCTGGCCGAGAGCCACATTGAGGAAATCAGCCGGCGCGATGGCCAGCCTCATATCCCCAGCTACAGCATCCGCGTAACTAGTAGGACTTGTGGCGACCCTACTCTTTTTGATAGCTGCGGATCTTTCCGGCGGGGTGCTGTCCGAAGGTCCAGGCCTCTTGGTAAGGCCCTRACCAGCGACTGCACCCTTTGCCTCATCCTCGCGGTGCGACTTAGGGGCTGGGCCCKGCAAAGCCAATCTGGCTTTGCGTGCCCTTCTCTTCGCAGCCCCGCTCCGGTTTTTCTTCTTTTTTGTTTTGGGCGATGAGTCCGTGGGTCCAGCTTTCGCCGATCCCTCTTCCCCAACGCTCAAGATCGTATCCTTGTCGACTGGAGTGGGTTCTTCATGCGAAGTCCCCACGCTGGCATGTGTTTTTGTTTGAGTGTTAATTTTTGTGATATCCATATGAGTCCTAYGWGTGGACAGGAAATAAACGGTCYGTCACCACAGAACCTGTTGCGGTGATAAGGCAAGATACAATGGGGGTTAGCCCGGTACCCCAAGGGCATCGTTTGCGACACTTTACCCAAGTGCCATACAGCCATCGGCACGATTGCTTCCACCTTAGYTTGGGGAGTGGTCCGCGGCGTGGCCTTCGATCCCCCAGGCCGATTTTAACGTCAGCCGAGTCCCTTATAGCCTGCACTATCCCGGGGTTCCTTGGGCCCCCGTGCTCGGGGTCGAAGTCGCTAATGACGCTCCTTCCTCCGTATCCGCCACCTGAAGACGCGCCCGGTTAGCCTTACGCATGCCCCCGGACCTCTGCACGAGGTCCGGTGAGCCCGGGGGTTTTTCTTTTACTAAATTTATAATCAGTCCTTGCATGCATGTAGAAAACTTATTTTGTCTAGTTTGTTTTCTAGAATGGAGTCCGTTGAAAAAAACAATAGGAACTCTGGTATATTTAGTTAGGTAAAAAAAACGTTCTTTATTATAAAAATGCAATATATTCATACAATAAAATAAAACAACACACACATAAACATATAAAATAATAATTTTAAACAAGATGTGCTCGCTTTTCTAATTATAAAAACTAACTGATTTATAGATGATGTTCATTTATTTTTTCAATAGCTCGTCAAAAAAAATTATATCGTTATTCTACTGTTAACATTTTTGAGTCGATTTGCTACCCGCTTTCATTAAAGTTTCTTATACATACTTTAACTTTACTTCACCCGTCTACACAATCATAATATTGGGATCTCTGGCAGTGGCGGGGCTTACCCTAGCACGAAAAATATGAACTAGAGACTGGATGGGTCTGTGTATTACTTGTATAACCAAAATAGAGAACAACGTGTATAACATTATTATTTATATTTTATTTATTTATTATTTATATTATTATTATTTTAATTTTTTTGTAATTAAATAAAATAAAATGAAACTTAC